TGAAGGTCACAAAGTGAGACTCTTGTCTCCATTAAAATATATATATATATATTCAGCTATTTGTTGGTGGTCACTCCCCAGCCCCGCCCACAAATCACTCCCTTCCTGCTTCGACAGAGCCCAGACAGGGAGAGGCAACTGCCTCTCTGGGAAGATAACCCCGGCACCCCCACCTCCACCACGCCCACCACCAGCTCCAGGGAGACCAGCTCAACTCATCGGAACCAACACTGATTCTGGCACTTTCACTCCTTTAGCTCCACAAATGGGCAGACCAGCAATGCAACTCCAGCCAGCAAAAAATACACCAAGGGGCATCTGCTGGGAGGCTTATAGAAAGGCTTACTTGCTTTAAAAATGAGCCCCGGGGAAGAAAAAGGCTCTGTCTGCTCCCTGACCTCTGTGCAAGGATGTGATGGCTGGAGCTCTGGCAGTAAAGAGCAGGCCACAGAACAGAGCCACGGTGGGCCTGGGGAGGGCTTCCCGGACAGGTGGCAAGTCCAGACCCTCAGCAAGGCTGCAGGGCTACGAGGTAACTGCCCACCTTCCCTGCCTCCAGTCCTCCTCCTTCATGAATAATAAGCATCCTTTCATTATGGAATCCAGTTTGCTGTCATGAGCAGCCCAATGTGTCTGGCTAATACACTGCTACATTGAGTGTTTCTAGGTACCAGGCATGACTGCGCCCTTGGCGGGTATTACGTGCATATCAGGTGATGCAGCAACCCCATGAGGCTGATTCTCTGATTATCCCTATTTATTGGATGAGTGAACTGATGTACAGACACGTAGAATAATGTGTCCACGTCTTACTCGTGGTAAACACCTGCTAACCAGCCACTCTGCCTACTGGTCCACACTGCGCTATCTAAATCTTAAGGCTATTTATTTTCAAAGTGGTAATAAAATAATAATATCAGTTAGTTTGAAAATTTATATTATGGAAATAATGCTTCCCTTGTAGAACTTCTATTTTTTAATATTTAAAATTATTTCCATCACACTATGTCCATATGCTTTCATTTACAAGATAAAGTCAGTACATCTGCCAAAACATCAGCTTATGTAAGACAAACTGTCTTTTTCTACTGTTTCATACTTGTATACCTATGTTTGTGAACTTAGTCTAGGCGTTATATACCGTAAAATACAGACGAAGAAGAAATATATAAAACAATTATGATTTCTTTCCACTGATACCGTGTACTCTTAATCTAAATTGAAAACCAGGCTGGGTACGATGGCTCACCCCTGTAATCCTAGCACTCTGGGAGGCTGAGGCAGGTGGATTGCCTGAGCTCAGGAGTTTGAGACCAGCCTGAGACCAGCCTGAGATGAAACCCCCATCTCAACTAAAAATAGGACAAACTAGCCAGGCCTTGTGGTGGGTGCCTGTCAAGTCCCAGCTACTAGGCAAGCTGAGGCAAGGGGATTGCTCAACTCCAAGAGTTTGAAGTTGCTGTAAGCTATAATAACATGGCACTCTACCCAGGGCAGAATGAGATTCTGTCTCAAAAATAAACAAATTAATTAATTAAAAAACAGCTCTTCTAGTATTTATGCAATAAAACTATTAATAATTTTTAAAATCATTGGAACATGGCTTGGAACCTATAGCTCAAGCGGCTAAGGCGCCAGCCACATACACCAGAGCTGGAGGGTTCGAATCCCCCCACCAAACAACAATGACAACTACAACCAAAAAATAGCTGGCGTTGTGGCAGGCGCCTGTAGTCCCAGCAGCTTGGAAGGCTGAGGCAACAGTATCGCTTAAGCCCAGGAGGTGGAGGTTGCTGTGAGCTGTGATGCCATGGCACTCTACCCAGGGGGACAGCTTGATACTCTGTCTCAAAATAACAGACAAATAAAAAGTAAAAATAAAAATTATTGGAACAAATAAACAACAAATATTTTCTGAATATCTGCCAAGTTTTCCGTCCATATGAAAAAGAGGATAACGAAGTAACCAAGTAACTAAAAGTGTGGGTTTAATATTAAAACTTTTAAAAGAAACTCAACGTCACTGAACATCAGGGAAATGTAAATTAAAATCACAATGGCTATCACGTCACAACACTAGGATGGCTGTGATCAAACAGTCACAAGAGAGCAAGGGTTAGTGAGGATGTGGAGAAAAAGGAACCTTTGTATGGTGCTGGTGGAAGTGCAAATCAGTACGGCGTTTATGGAAACCACTTCTGAGAATACACATAAGTGAAACAATATCACTACTATCTAAGACATGTCTGCAGTCCAATATAAAACACACGGACATATCATTCACAATAGCCAAGGCAGGGAAGCAACCTGCGTGGCTAACAACAGGTGAATGGATAAGAGAATGTAGTGTTTCTGTAACTACACGATGGAATATTACTCAGCCTTATAAAAAAATGAAATTCTCACATTTGCAACAACATTATGCTAAGTAAAACAGGTCACACACAGAAAGACCAATACTATGTGATGTCATCTATCTGTAGAGTCTTTAAAAAAAAACCACACACACACACACACATACATTGTGAGGGGCGGCGCCTGTGGCTCAAGGAGTAAGGTGCGGGCCCCACATGCCAAAGGTGGTGGGTTCAAACCTAGCCCTGGCCAAAAAAAAAATTGTGCTCTCTCCCCTCTCTCCTCCTCTCTGTCCCCTCTCTCCTCTCTCTCCCTTCTCCACTCCTCTCTCTCCCCTCTCTCCCCCCTCTCTCCCCTCTCTCTCCC